CATAGTTTTCCTAAAATTATTATTCAAAACATTGTTTTTTTTCCATATAATGATTGTCAAACAGGGGCTAAATCCTGTATAGTATAATATCGATACATGTTGTGGTGGTTAAACTAACCTTGTTTAATTTGGTACAATAATTGTAGATTATCTTGAGCCAAGTAGAACCATTGACAGAACAACAACTGATGGGAATGTATGGATTACAGCAATCCACACATGAGGCAGAAGAAGCCCTTTCTCAAGGGCTTGAAGCTCTGAATCAATCTCTCTCTGAGACCTTAATCGCTGATCCACTCAACCTTCCACCAGACGTGAATAGCTTCATGAGCACCATGTCTCTAGCAATCAACAAACTCTCCACCCTTGAAGGTTTTGTTTGTCAGGTATGTACCCTCACAAGTCACGTAAGTCATGTCACCAAATTCATGTAGTCGGTCCCAAATTATTAAAAAAATAATAATAATTTAAATAAATAAGTTAGTCTACGAGAAATTAAAATGAAAATAAATTTGGAACCTAGCCTTTCCATGTCATACAAAAATTGGTTGCATGGTTTTAGGGTATATATGAAATTCGAGAGGATGGGTATTTCTAAATAGGGTTATTCAATTAGCGAGTCATTTTCAAAACAGTTTTACTTAAATGAATTGATAAAAAATAAGGACCACCCAACATATCCCATGATTTATGAGCTTTTGTATATTAATTGAGAGGAAATAATTGGTTTAGGTTTTGTTTGAGCCCCATTTTTTGGAACGCAAGTTTTGTAATAGTGATTTTTTGAAAAAATGTGATTAAAAAATAGAGAAAAATTGTGAGTTTACATGTAAAATTATTTTATAGGAAAAACGTGTAGTTAAAAATTAGTTTGAGAAAAAATAAGTTTTTGGTCCAAGAATATCCATATTCTTCAAATATTTCAATTTATAAGAAGGTACATAATCAACATCATCATTTTATAGTTATCATTAATATTATTTTTTCAAACCTCTTTTGTCAAATGTTTAGAAGGTAGAATCTTAAAAGAAACTACACCTTTGTCAATTTGTAAGCTCTTATCACATCGGTGCACGTGTCAAACGTGTAGCTCCTAATTTAGATGTGTATCTACGTGTCAAGCATGTACGTAAAACGCTTAAAACGTTTGTGCATGCATCACTCATGTAATGCTTAAGTTAGACATGTATATATGTTTACATACAATAATAAAAACCTACGCTCCTATATAGCGTGCGATGCACGTGCTTTGATACATTTTATTTCATCTTCTATTTATATTTCGATATATTTCTTTTCACACATTTCTTAAAGCGAGGATCAAAAGAGACAATACGCCACCCTCCAACAGTCCACCCCCAAGAAGGGGAATAATAATAATAATAATAATAATAATAATAATAATAATAATAATAATAATAATAATAATAATAATAATAATAATTCATGCACAGACATTGCATATTGAAAAATACTTCATTTTCAAATATAGTTGTAAATTATTTTTATATATAATTAGACAATCTATTCAATCATTGTCAGAGTTGGGAAGAATTGTGGGTATCAGCACAATTTTTCTTATTTAAATCATGTCAACGTAGAAATGTTTACATGATGATTATTCAAAACTTCAAGGTCAACACTCAAGCATGATGAGTTATAATTAATGTATTTATTTTTTTCTCACTTACTATTTTTCATGTTCTATTAAAAATGAAACATACAGGCTGATCACCTGAGGCACCAAACCATTCATCGGCTCCACCAACTCCTCACCACCCGTCAAGCTGCGCGGTGTTTCCTGGCCATCGCGGAGTACTTCCACCGCCTCCGTGCCCTCAGCTCTCTCTGGTTGTCCCGCCCCCGGCAAGAATGAGAAAATCCCTTGCCATGTGCACCTTTTAATCTATAGACCTCCTAATTAAGAATATTAATAGCTTATCGCTTTTTTTACTATTTTATAGATGTATAGAGATCATAGAAAAACTAAATTAAGACTTTTATAAAAGTAGAAGTAATTAAACTTCAACTGCTTTGTTTTTCTCTATTTTCAATGATGAATTCTTGAAAATGATAAATAGGATAATGAGTTAACAGATAACTTTTGACTGAGAAATGGAGGATGAAGATGTTTAAGGCTTTGTTATATAGTCAAATTAACAATAAATAATTTGTTTTTAGATAAGTAAATCCAAGAGGCCAATATATATGTGTTGAAATTATTGAGTAATGTCTGGGAAAGGAAAAGAAAATTTTACTGCAGATAATGTTTGAGCTGTAGATAGTATTTGGTGCAATAAATCCTAAAGTTCATTTGTTTCTATTTTTATACTTTTTGCAATAACTATATTAAACACATATATACATAGATGATAGATATACCTGTTCATATATAAGAAACCGTAAAATCGTCTGATGAAATACGATATTCATATATTATTAACGATATTGATATATATCATTTGTGCAACGCGTTTGCACACATAGATATAATATACAGTGGTACTAGTTAGTTATGTGATATTTATTAATTATTTTTTACTAAATAAAGCAACGAATTAAGAATTTTATGACGCGGTTTTCAGGGAGACAAAGCTCTTTGTACACGAGTGTTTACACGGGCCCACCTTAGCCCCTCACATGGGGCGAGGTCCCACGTCTAGGTCCCGCCCGTGTACAAGAAGCACGGTCCTTTTTAGGGTGCCATTGGTTTTTAAGCTTGAATCGAAGGAAATTAGGGTTTTTGCATATGGTTGGTTTTGAAAGTGGACTAATAATAGGGAGGGAAATTATTAAAGTAGAAAAAAGTTTTCATCAAAACGAAAAAGTTAAATGATATTGGACATTCAATTAAGTCAATATATCGATATTGAAAATATCTGAATATGCAGCTAAATAATATATAGGATGTTTGAAACCCATTTTTATGGAAAATGAATTTTAGAATGGTAGATTAAAAAGAATGTATGGATGAAAAATATGAAAAAAAAAATTTAATTACATTTAATATTATTTTAATGAAAAATGTATAGTTAAAAAGAAAAGATAGGAAAAAATGTATTTTGATAAAAATAAAAATCAGATAGACCATGAAAAGTTAGAATAATTACTTGTCAGTGCATCTTTACCTTCCACAGCTTGGCTGATCGTTTTGATCCTTTAGCACCCGTTTGATCCCCATTAAATTCAATTACATTACATTCCATTTTTCTCTCTCCTATTTTCAACCACACAATCTTTCATAAAATAATATTACACATAAATGAAAAAAATTTCCTTCTTTTTTAACCATTCATTTTTCTAAAAAATACTATCCCCCCATTTTCATTTTCGGGTAACGGGGTCAAACTAGGGCTTAATCTCCTTTTATCTCAATCCACAAATTTCATATAAATGCATCATTGAAACCTCCAAACAACGGCAATGCTAGTAATTATACTTTCAGAGTAAATAAAAAGAAATAAAATTAATATTTATTGTTAATGTCAAAGCTCAGTGTTTTGTGTTTGAAACATTGGATTGTGAACAAAAAGTACCTTTCAATCTTGTCAAGCACATTGCTCTTTCCGTACTATATTAGACAAATATATGTATTTTGATTAAGATCGAATTCAAATGTAGAGTTTATAGTATTTTATTTATTTCATCATAAAATCAATTTTATGATATGAACGTTTATTTTCTCTTCCATTACCTTACTTTTACTGTAATGATCTCAGTTCTATTTGTCAAACACGTAACTTTATGGTCTCGTAATTTTTATTTAACAAATAACTATACATTTAAAAAAAATTAAAAAATCAAACGATGGCGACAAAAACCATGGGCAAACTCCCTTGTGCAAAAGGATCTTGTTATATATACATAAAGATTTACATAATGGATTATATAATACCAAGTGGCACTCTATCATTTGTCAGTTTAAAACACAATCAACTTTTTCATCCAATCTTTTTCCACCAAATCATATTATATAATCCATTATGTATATTTTTTATATACAAATAGCAAAATCCTGTACAAAAATACTAGGAATTTTCCCCCTTGGTTTTCGTCACTGCCCACCTGTGTTAGCAAACCCAGGGGATATCCTCCTGATTATCAAAAATATCACAGGAAACCTACGATTTCCTCGCTTTTCAAAAAGTGCAAATGATTTTTAAAAAAAAGTAATAATTTAAAAATAAAATAAAATAAGATAAGAAGAAAGACAACTAAAAAAGAAAAATAACTGAAAGGAGAAAAAAGAATTTAGAACCCAAAAAAAAAATGGAAAAGAAAAGAAAAGAAAAGAAAGAAAAACTTCTACACTGAGTCCATAATTTCAATTGTTTCTATGGATATAACATACATTCTTTTTACATTTTTCTTGAATATATTGCCTATAAATACAACATTGAAACATTTGCGCAACCTCTACATAATGCGATGATATCCTTTTGTTTAGTAAAGTTATTCTTGCCTCGATTCATGGATGTAAACCATTTTCGTGAATACTGTACACACAAAAAATATATTTCGATTTAAACCATCGCAAGTATACGATTCGTTAACAAGTAATAAAAAGTGAATTTTAAGTCCAACTATCATACCAGAAGGATTAACTTAGCTCAATTTCTATATTGTGACCTTAACCGAAATAATAAAAAATGTGAGTATTTGCCATGATGCAAATTATAACTAACCTAAATTACATATGCAATTACAAGTGATTTAACTTACTAAATGCAAGTTGAAGTGCTCTAATGAAGGATAAACGTTCTAGGATTGCGAATCTCCATACAATAATCCTTTTTAACTATAGTTTTACATTTTGACAACACGATTGCTTATTGAAGAATCAATGTTCATTTTATATTTAACAATTTTTCTCAAATAATGTTAAACATATTCTCATATATGACCCGAACTATATTTCTATGACAAAGGCAAACATACAAGAATGCATGAATTTTTAAGAACGCTTAAAGATTCACATAGAGTAAAATGGTATATTTCTATCCCCTATCAGATCTTATGACGATTTATATAATGTCGAGCCTATTTTCCTTCTTTCAAATACATAAAGTAAGTCACCATATTCACATAATTACTGAGCAGAATAATTATGGAGAAAAGAAATTCATATAAAATACTCAATACTCAAAAACGTATTTTAATGTCAAGAATGTAAAACTAAAGATCAAAAAATAATACCACATGGTTCATCGTTCTTCTAGTACAAACAAATCTATCCTAGCATGGTGGAAAAAAAGGAAACAAACTCAATAATAAAAAAAAAGACATCAAAAATTTAAATCTTGATTTGAATCCTTGCGTCTTAGTGTCAATCTTCACAGTCTTTCCTCGCTTTTCCCTCTAAAAACCCTTCTCAATGTGTTATAATGTGTCCCCCTCCACTTATGGATGTCCTTAGAGTTTTCAAAGACATCTCAAGATTTGTTTTCATAAGAATTTCAATCAAATAAAAAAATCAGAAATTTTTTGCCACGATTGCCTGGGCTAAACTTTAAGCCTCGATATTTGCATTTCAGTCGCCGAACTTCATTCTCTAGTTTCTTGACCTCTTTTCTCATTTCTTTTTCTTCCAATACTTCATGTCCTCTATAAATTGACACTCAAATCTTTCACATCTCTATTTTCTCATCTAAGTCATCTTTTGGCTATTCGAACTTTGGTCCCTGAATTTTGATTTATTCCATTTTGGTCCTTTTTTGCTTTTTTTCCCTAGATTCTGCCACATTTATCTATGGTGTCGTACAAAATATAATTTATATAAAATTAAACCATATTTCAACATATTCGCCAACAATTATCTATGTTTTATCGTAAAAAAATTGTAAAACGTACTTATCGAACCTCCAAACTTAAACTATTGTTTGTCCTAAAAAAGATCGTAGCTTAACCCCACACAAACATGGTTTGACAGCCTGTTGTGTCTCAAGATTAGAATTCAATAATTAACAAAATGAACAGTTTCAACATTACAAAAATCAAATCAACCACTACTTGTTATATGCATAACTCAACGTATGTGTGTAAACTTATGAAAACATATCAAGCTCAGGATTGGTTCAACTCCCAACCCGTAGTGGTCAAGTATTTTCTTCCTTTGCTCGAGAGATACACACTTCTCCCAACTTGTTCTTTTCATTCAATTCTCCTGGGTTTTGTTCTAAAGTTGAAATATAATTAATTCTAATCCTTACCATCTCTTAGTTTGGAAAGATCTTACTATTACAAGTTTACCCTCAATAAGTAGAGATTCTCCTATTTTTTATTGCTTCAACTTTTAAAACTAAACTAAACTATTGCCTCTCATGGTAGGTATAGTTTTACCAACCAAATGTCTTGAGGCTTAATTAATGCAATTGTGTCTTTTCTCACTTATACTTATTCTCTCTCTCTCTCTCTCTCTCTCTCTCTCTCTCTCTCTTTTTCTTTTCTCTTTTTTTGGCATATTCTCATTTGTTTTCTATATAACCTATGTAGCAAGCTTTACACCGATGACTTCGAAATCAGTTGACCTTCAAACACTGTGTTTTAAACCCTTGTAGGCTTATTCACTCGAGTTATAAAATTTCGAGAAGATGATTTTTATTATCTTCTCCACCTCTCACTTTCTATATGACCCATTTAGTGAATTTTAGGTCAACGACTCTCAAGTCAATTGACCTTACGACACCAGGTTTTCAAATATCCTTATAGACTTGCTCGAGTCATAAAAGTTTTGAGAGAAGTGTTATTTGCACACATTAATACTATTCCCCTTTAAACAATTAGTTTTCAAAACCAACCCCTAGGTTAAGACTTTCACTTAATCTTTGTCTCATTAATTTTAGACAATACACACAAGACAATTTCATGTATGGAACCCCTACTAATCTCAACGTTCCCTTGTCACAGCTCAATCATCTCCAAACTACTGAAACAATAGATTATGGAAAAGTACAATAAAGGTTTTCCAGGGTTAATATATTCTATTCAACTCTTCTCTAAATAATGAACATAATCACCAACTTAACATATAAAACATGAGTA